GGTCCTTAAGCGCTCACCATATGTGCTGGATTCCCCCCAATATCACACCCTACAAAAAAACATTTGTTTAATTTCGGATCTATTTAGATTTTTATTTCTTTTTTTAATATTTTGGATCTGAAATTTGATTTGGTTCATTGTTCGGATTCAGATCCATCCGAAGTTTTGTTCCAGAACGATCCAAATTTTTGTTTCGGAAAACCTTCCCTGTAATGCAGGGGTGTCAAACTTAACGTAATCGTGGGCCGCATCAACATTATGGTTCCCCTCAAAGGTATCTGTAAGACGATATAAATGTATCTAATCTTTATCATAGTTGCCTCTGCATTCCATTATCACTGGTTTTAGTAATAACTTAATACTAGGGATGCACCGATACCGATACTAGTATCGGTATTGGTGCCGATACTGAGTATTTTGGTGAGTACTCGTACTCGCCCAAATGCTCCGATACCTAGCACGAGTACTTCCTGCATCAGAAAGCCGGAGCAGCGCATCATTACATGCTGCCCGGTTTCCAGATTGGCCCGGAAACGGTGATGAGAGAGCATGGAGCTGATTTCACGGCCAATCAGGAAGCCGGGTAGCGCGCTGCCCGGCTTCCCGATTGGTCAGGAAGCTAGCAAATCCGGAAGCCGGGCGCCGTGTAATGACGCAGCGCCCGGCATTCTGATTGGCCGGGAAGCCGGCGTCATGCTCCCTCGTCATCTCATGAATCATAATATTAAGAAAGTGACCTTAAAGCATTAGTTTGTATTGCTTCAGAAAAAATGTGACCTGTCCATTTAAGAAAAAGTATCGGTAATTGGTATCTGTGAGTACTTGATCAAAAGTATCGTTACTAGTACTTGGTCTTAAAAAAGTGGTATCGGTGCATCCCTACTTAATACCAAGATCTAAAAGTAGAAGTCTAGGAAGTGGCCTGGTGGGCCCGATTCGCCCCCTGGGCCTTGAGTTTGACACGTGTGCTGTAATGCAACCGCCAACAGCCCCCAAGAAAATCTGATTGACCAGAGAACAGTCACATGTCTTTAGTATCTTGTTGAATGAAAATTGGACAGACTTGAATTCCATTCAATGGACATTTGGATTCGTTCACATTCAGACGCGTTCAAATTCAGATGCCTGTGAACCCTGGGAATCTTTACCTCTGCTGCCCAAACCACTGAAGCAGAGATATGGGGGTCTATTCACAAAGCTGCCGAAGGATCTAGCCATAGCTTCGGCCATGGTCTCCCAAGGTCTACCTGGAAACCAGCACTTCCATCTAGCTCCCTATAGAGCTGCAGATAAGGTCAGAAGTCTATGATCTACAAATACAGATTTATCACTGATGAACATCATTTTCCTCCTCTCCTCCCAGATTGTATACTTTTATTTATGCTTTTAGTCCCAGAGTGCAGAACTTTACATGTATCAACTTTCATGGGTGTATTTATACCATTTTGATTATTTATACTGTGATAGTTTGGGGAATATACCGCAATGGTGTGCGCCAAGAGACCACTCCTGAAGCCATCTTTCACATAAAAAGGACAGATTTTATTCATTCAAAAAGTCAACAATCTGTGAACATCACAAAATAACTCGCCTTTCTTCAGCATAAATGAAACAGAACCATTCATTGGACTTTCATCAAAACATTGTGTTTTGGTCTCACCGACATCTGGCTGTCCCATATACTCCCACTGTGAAAGTCCCAGGACTTTACCGTATTTCTCTGTAAACTAGACATGTGCGATTCGTTTCGTTACCAATCGAAATTCGTACGGATTTTCCTGAAATTCGTAAATTCGGAAGCATCCGAAATCCGAAGTGCAGTTTCCGAATTATATCCGAAATACGAAATTCCGTTACCGTATTTCGGATCCGAATTTCTTTGAAACAGGAACTAATATTACCCCTGTAAATGAGGTTGAACAACATGACAAGATTTGTTTTTAATCCGAAATACGGATCCGCTGCTGCTGCTGATGCATTACAATACACAGGCAGGAAATACGAAATTCCGTTACGAACATTCGTTATATTGAAGTTAAAAAGCAAAGTACATTTATATTGGAGTTGATGGAAGTTTTTTGTTATACGAAATACGAAATTCGGATCCGGAATCCGTTAACGGAATTCGTATTTCGGATAAAAAAACAACTACCACATCGACTCTAATATTAACAAAGGTATTTTTGCTTTTTAACTTCATCATAACGAATGTTCGTACAGTTACAAAAATGTGCCGAAACTAACGAAAATCCGTATTTCGTACGAATCCGAATTGAGTTTCGGATACGAATTACGAAATACGAAATAACGGATATTCCGAAACGGAACGAATTTTTTGACGGCGCACAAGTCTACTGTAAATACAGTCCTCAGTATTGCTCAGCAGCTTTCCTCAGCTCCAAGCGGTTCAGTATTCACCCCTCATGGGTCACTATCTCTCTTCGTCTATCTAGCAGGTATCTCAGGGTCTTCAACCCTCTTGACCTCTCCATCCTTCCTGGCTGTGTCACTTGTGCTCACGCATGCAGCAAATGTCTGACTGTGGCCATGTGCCCCCTCGACACCCGCAACTCTCCTCTGAGCACTGGGCTGGCTTCCTAATGAGGCTGCTCCCCAGCCACCTGATCACCGGCAGCACCTGACCCCAGGACTGGAGATCTCATCGCATCCAGAGCTCTAAGAAATCTCCAGAGCTCCAGATCCCGGCTACAATTAGGAAAACCTGGAATATTCTGGGATGCCAGATTCTTTCTTATAAAATGGTTCACATTCTGGACTCTCTTAGACCCTTCTGGCTGAGAATCCTGGGGGCCAAAGTTGCCATATTACACCATGGCATTGCCATGCACTGCCACACAACATATAAGCTGATTAGCATTATGACACACCCCACCATTAATACCAACCAAACCCCCTTGTGTTACCCTCTAAATATGCAAACATCTAAAAACTTCTAGAAGACAGTCTCATTGTTTAATCATAAAAAGCTCACTTGAAGCAGGGCAACTTAGAGTGTCCCATGACACTGGCCAGAGATAACCTTTCACATATCCACAAATTCTTGTTTATCAGACCCTGTATAAGCTTGTAGGACTGCAGAAAAAACAGGCCATGACTACCAACATCATTGAAGTCAACAGTGAAGGTAAACTTTTGGCACTTTTAAAACTAAGCTCCTGATTGGCCACCTAGTTGAAAGCTAAGGATGCTCTGTCCAATCAGTGGGTTTGTTGTGAATGAAGAGGTCAATCAGAGGCTTTGTTTACTACTGAAGAACCACCTTTTGGTTTAGAAGGATGTGAAAGTGGCCCAATGGCTCCATTATGACTGCTGCCAAAATGGAGGTGGGAGGAAGACATTTCTTCTGATTGTTTTGATCGCTGAAGTCCCTATAGCAGTGATATAGGATACACATCACTAACTGGTCCCTATGCCACTCTAGTGATGTATGTTAGTAATGTAAAAATTTAAGTTTAATCCATTCATGCCAGGCAGTGGTGAAGCAGCATGACTTTTAATTAAATACATATCACTAGGTAGGTCCAGGGTCCAGGTTCTTGATTGATTGATTTAATCACTTGTTTAAAACTTGAGACGCTGCAATGAGAAATCTTTGCAGTCTCAAAATATGTCACCAGGAAGCCACTGCCAAACTGGTTTTCCGAACTCCAACCATTGAGGCGAGGCCTAGTTTAACAGTGGTTTTTTTAACAGCAAAGGGGTTCAGAAGACCGTGATGGGGCCAAAGACTGCCACTCCATTGCTTTTTGTTAAAAGACCTCCATTTAGTTAATTTCATACCACCGGGGTTAGAGATAGAAAACCAATATGGCAGGTGGGTGGGTGCCGCCTTATTGCTAATCTATAGTGCAGTCTGTCATTTTGTGTTGAGATTTCATCATGTACAGATAGTCTGGCAGCACATCATTGAAAGCGAAGTTGAATTTACATTTCTAGATGATCTGACTTGCATACATTGGACAATAAATTCTACATACATTTGTGTTTTCCTTTTATTGAATAACATATTTTTTACAGTTTTTGTGTGTTTTTCTCTTAATTCTTCTGGGCACGGGTAAGACAAACTAATTTATTCCTGTACTTTGTCTCCTAGGGTGGGATGGATAGCAGCCACCCCCAATAAAAGGGGTTTTGAGATTTGACCATAAGACCTCTACATTTTACCACCACCTCCTTTTTGTTGCAGCATGCTGCACGCTCACTTTGTGTGCTCCTTTTTGCAGTACACAAAGGTGGGGAAAAGCCCCTTCCCTCAACATTGGGACAATGGTACTTCCCAAAAGGAGAGAGGTTAACCCACAACTGTATTTTAAGGTGCCCCCAAAGTTGAAAGGCATGTGGCCTTGTTTGAAATCAAAAGGGAGGCTGCATGCTCACTGCTTTTCCTTTCTTGCCACTCAGGCTGCATGCCTGGATAAGGTGGGAATATTAAGGGGACCCCATGCCATGTTTTTTAATTTGAATTACTATTCACCTCCCCGTAGATGTGGGGCGGCTCTGTACTGGTTCATCATTTAGTAAAATTTAAAAATGCAAAAAGACCCCTGCTGACTTTGCAGAATGGAGAGTGTAATTCTATGTGCATGATTGTGAGAGCTGTGTGTGTGTGTTTTTGTTTGCTTCCAAATTCAGTGTACTCAAACACTGCAGACGTGTGGTTCTAGTTTTTCAAAAATGAATCTGTGTAGTTCAGGATGAATTTAGAATTTTCTTGAACAAAAACAGCAACACTAGTCATAAGGACAAAAAGTAATGGGGAAATCCAACATGCTAAAGCTGATACAAGAACCAGAAGTAAGGAGGAATGGGAACTCCGTTTTCCAGCAGCAATTGTCTAGTAGGGGACTTCCTATCACTTGGGAGAAATTATTTCTCACTTCCTGGTGTGTATTTTGGAAAGGAGGTGAAGAGAAAGCTCTTCAATGGGACATACTGTAAGAAGGTACTTCTGTCTCTTTCTTATACCCAAACATGAGGGTTTATCTAAGATGATTTCTGTATTTAGGGGGGAATATCTTGTTAAAGAAAACACTTTGAAATGCTTTTCTGAAATCCTGGTTCCTCAGACTGTATATCAGAGGGTTGAGGAGCGGAACAATCACGGTGTAGAAGACAGACACCACTTTGTCAGCGAAAAAATGATTATTAGTGTTTGGGCGAAAATAATTAAACATAATGGAGCAATAAAATATGAAGACCACCATCAGGTGAGAGGAACACGTAGAGAAAACTTTACTCCTTTTACCTTTAAATTGTATTTTCAGGACAGTTTTGAATATAGAGACATAGGGGAGGATGGTCAGTGTTAGAGAACCAGCTACAATAAAGACACCCATGATAAAGATGAGCAGAATGTTGATGAAGATGTCACTGCAGGAGATCTGTAACAGCTGAGGAAGGTCACAGAAGAAACTTTCTACAATATCTGATTCACAGAATGTTAAATTTAAAGCACCAAGTGTGTGAATTGAAGCATTCGTAAAACCGAGACACCACACAATGGATGCTAACTGTATACACACTTTCCAATTCATGATCAGCATATAATGCAATGGTTGACATACGGCAGTATATCGATCATATGACATGACAGAAAAAAGAATGGGTTCAGAAGAGGCAAAGGACAAAAAGAAGAAACACTGGGTCATACAAGAAGTTACGGTAATCTTTCTTCTCTGGGTGAGAAGGTCAAATAACATTCGTGGGACGGTGACTGAGGAACAGCAGAGGTCCAAAGCAGCCAGATTCCCAAGGAAAAAATACATAGGGGTATGGAGGTGAGAGTTGATGACTACGAGGAAGATAATCAGCAAATTCCATGTTATTGTCAGAAGGTAGATGAGAAGGAAGAAGAGGAAGAGAGGAAGCTGAAGAGCCGGAATATCGGACAGTCCAGAGAGAAATAATTCATTCAGAATTGTCTGATTCCCCATTGTAATATCAATAAAGAAAATACACATAAATAACATGCAGTTGTCTATTCAACTGGTTGTAGGACTTGATTTAAGAAAACCTTAATGATCAAAGATAGAAATTCTTCAGCAAAAAACACAAATGCAGACAATGTCAAATATTTGGTGTGGAATACATGAGCCGGTTTCTTATTTCTATCAGAAATGGCAAATGTTAAAATATATTTAGCAGAAATCTTCAAGTTTGACTGAAACATCAAATTTACTGCACAATACATAGAGTGGAGCACAATCTCAGTTCTCCTTTATCCTACATACAGAGAAAAGTCAGAAATTACTGCAGCAAGGATATCGTTGTGACATTGTGGGTACATAGTACAATTTTATTAGCTGCACAGACATATATTTATACTTCCGAGGTTCCCCTGACATCTTCGGAGCACACTGGGGTGTATGTTGCCCCTGCGTTTAATTAAAACAAAAATCCTCTGCAATAATGAATCCCTGCAGAAAATAAATAATCATCTGAATTAATGTATCCCCCACCGACACACAATGTTACCCTACTGATTCATTAGGTGCCTTTAGATAAAAGGAAATTTGCTAAAGTTTAAAATGAGAATTTGTGATTCTAAAATGAAGTGATAATAAAAGGTGGTGGAAAGTAGAACAACTAAAGAAAAAAAAAGTGAAATTAAACAATACAGAAACGGTGAAAACAATACAGAGTGGAGGAATCTGAAGAACTTTTATCCTCCGGTCGCCCTCGGTTCAAATTTTGTTGCGTTTTGTCTCATTTAGAGTGATGTAAACTATTATAGAAAATGTTAATAATTGAAATGAGGGGTCTTTATAGACTATTCAAGTTCTTTTTGTGAGATTTAATTGGCATTTTGTGAGAATAGTTTTACTTTCCATCAAAATATGAAAACATAGCAGAGCAATGGCCCGGAGCAAATGTGTAAATAGGAAACATGAAGGGAAAAATAATGGTGAAACAGTGATGTCCTCTTTATAAATAGCCCTCTTCTGACATCTCTCCCTATGTGCCATCACAATGCAAATAGTTCAGGTGCTAGTGATTAAAGAAGACAGAGACTGGAGTAATGTAGATACAGAAATGTTTACTTCTCTGTGGGTGGCAGAAGATCTGGATTGGGAAGCCCCATCACTAAAAAACATCCAGTCCTAATGGAGGATCACTGTTGGAGGTTCTTTGCACAGTCCAAATGTTCAGAGTCTACGTTGAGGCCGGGATATCTTGGGTACCGCTCTCCTTGATTTACCTCTTATATCTTATATCACAAGCTACATTCCAGAGCATCCCTGAACTATTCAGTGTAAATTTTCATGTACTCAGAATTTACATTGATACGTAGTAAGTTAGATTGGAAATAAAAGACACGCCTATCAGGGACAACCAATAAAAAAAATATGGGGTCTATTCACTAAGCTGCCGAAGGATCTAGCCGTAGCTTCGGCTGATCCTTCGGCTAGCTTTGGCCCCAGGACCCCTTCAGTTCAGTAGAACCGAAGGGCTGCTGTACGGGCTTTTCACTACAGCCTGTACAGCTCCCGAAGTCGGCTGAGCGGCTCGGTCGAGCCGAAGTCATATGCTTCAGCTCGACTGAGCCGAGGTGAAAGCCGGGCTGGGCAGAGCCAGCCGTCATCTTACGGCTGGCTCCGGCCACTTGCATAGAGATCAGCGTCCCTGGTTACCAGGTAACCAGGGATGCGGTCATTACACACTGAGAACCCGACCATGCCATTATGAAATCACAGCGGACTCTCTGTGTTCTCAGTGTGTAATGACAGATGGTGTTCCTGGTTACCTGGTAACCAGGAACGCCATCTGTCCTTCCTCCCGCTGGACGCTCGGGGAGTCTAATAGGCTCCCAGCCACCCGGGAAAGAAATACTTTCTTCCAGAAAGGTTCACTCTGCTCGATCGAGCAGAGTAAATCTTTTCCTGCTTGTTTTTTTATTTTCTTCTTCTGACATCGGAGCCGTTGGCTGCCATCAGAATAAAAAAAACAATTACTGTAGGAATGCATAGCTAGATTTCTATTGGCTATTTCAATTTGCAAAAGCCAATAGCAAACTAGCTATTTTACCCGCCCACTGCTGCTGTCAATCAGCAGAGGGGGACCTGCAGTTCTCCATCAGGTCCCCCTCTGGTGATTGACAGCAGTAGAGGGCGGGTGCAATAGCTAGTTTGCTATTGCAAAGTGAAATAGCCAATAGGAATCTAGCTACGCATTCCTATGGTGTGTTCTTTTTTTTTTTTTGACGGCAGCAGAACCGCCCGGCCAATAGAAAACAGTTGGGCTGAGCTAACTGTCACTGCTAGGCTCCACACAAGTGTTCTTTTTTTTTTTTTGACGGCAGCAGAACCACCTGGCCAATAGAAAACAGTTGGGCTGAGCTAACTGTCACTGCTAGGCTCCACACAATCATTTTCTAATTATTTTTTCTACTTTTTTTTTTTTTTAGCAAATAGTCTTTATTTGAGTTTTATCCATAATACAAACAATAAGTCATTATAGCCCGTCCCTGTAGGGTGCAGACGGCATTTTGTGAAATAGATCAATACATAACATACAGTATTGTGATATCGTTAAAGATATCAATGGTCATCATTACCACTTGAAACAAAAACATTTAAGTGAGATGCAAAACTGAGGTACAACAGTGTTTCATTTCCAAACGAACTAGGTAGCGAGTAAACGTTGCAATCACCTGTTAGCGACATTGGTTCACCCGTAGCCGTTGGGTTCTTGTTGTGTACATATGAGATCCTAGGGAATTATAGTGTACAAGGGAAATAGAAATATAGGCCATGTGGAAAG